ATGGCAATTCTAGGTGTTTGCTCGCGTACATAAGACGATTTACGGCCCACCCGACGTTAGAAAACTCAGTGGCTACAACGAAGAATAGTGGCGCTTACAAAATGATGTCTATGGACTGCGGTAACCACTCAATAGCAGATAGGACGTGTCCATCTAAGAAATAAATAGTGGAGGTAACCTTCATAGAGCACCAGATATTTGACAGATTCCTGAATCTCCTTTTTCTCTCGTTCGAACGACATTTTCAAGATAAGCTTGCATATATAAAAGTTCCGAACAACAATATTCGGACCGTCGGTCTACCGAGCAATATCACCCGCTCGGTGGAAAATACTTAACAAATATTCACGATTGACTTCCACGGTGAAGGAATAACATCGTGTAATAAAAAAAAATCCGCAGAATTATAATTTGTGTAATTACTGGTGGAAGGACCTCTTGCGAGTCCGCGCGGGTAGATACCACCAACCTGCCTATTTCTGCCGTGAAGCAGTAATGCGTTTCGGTTTGAAGGGTGGGGCAGCCGTTGTAACTATACTAAGACCTTAGAACTTATCCCAACGTGGGTATCGCATTTACGTTATATACGTCTATGAGCTTCAGTAACCACTTAACACCAGGTGGGCTGTGAGCTCGTCCACTCATCTAGGCAATAAAAAAATATCTTCCCTTCGTCGTTACTTCCACAAAAAAAATAAAAAAACGTGCTAAATAATGGCTGAAATAGTTAAAACCCACTGATAGCTTGCTTAACAGATGTGTGAATACGAAACACGGTTTTTCGAAAATCTATGCCTGGCTAAATAAGGAATGAAAACTTGGGTTTTATTAACTCACCAACTATTAACTTCATATAAACAATCCACATAACTCAACGTAAGAACTTAAGGAGGATGTTTGAGTAGGCAGACCGCGCTGGAACTATGGAAGGGCCTGACCACTTCAAAGCGAGTTGATGAAGAACTTTCGTGAACAGTGGCGGGCCATTGTCGCTCGCGTTCCCTCGTCCGGATAGTTTCGAACTTTGACCAGGTGCCAGGACTGTAATGAATGCGAAAGCTAGTGGGCGGGTAGAGGTGGGACGGATTCAGAATTTGTGTTTTCTTTTATCTAGCTAGGACTACCGGACTCTTCAAACAAAAGCCCGTGACTGCTTCCTGGCAGAAATTGACAGAATTATTGTGCCTTCCTTTGTGAGCTTACAATATGTTCCTTCTCTGCTGAATCGAAAAGTTTCAAGCTTTCGCGGTTAGATTTTTACTGCAAGACGTTTTTTCCTACATCGTGAAAAACATTTAGGAACGCGTCTTTAGTCCTTCCTCTTCAAATAATGTTCGCAGCCAGAAGATTGGAACCTCGGCTTAGTTGTATCACCCTATACGAACTTCGGCTATGGGATGACCTTATGTTAGGTCCGTATCTGAAAAAAAATCTTCGGTACTCATTACGTAGCATAAGCTTCTTTTGGCTTATGCGCATAGATCGCTTTTTTTTTTATTCCTGTTTGAAATAAGTACTTTTTTCGTATAATTAATATTACTAGAGGTCCCGCAGTAGTCGAAATTCGACTATAATTAATTGTAATTGTAAGTTTGTACACTATTATGATTGTATTTTATACTTCTATAATCACAAATTTCGACAAGACTACACTATAAAAAATATTAACAAAGACAAACAATATTTAATCTATTCTCAATTTGACAACAGACGTCAAGAACAAAAGTTTGACAATAAATAGTATGCATGCGTGTGTGCGTCAAATACACGGTATGTAGTGTGTGTAATGTTTTCTTTATTGATTTAATGCATCTTTTATGCATTATTTAAAAAAAATATTAGCATTGTGCACTCCTTTTCTATATTCTCTATAAGTGTGAAAAATTTCATACTCCTCCGTCCGCGCAATTTTCGTAAAAAAGGGATACAAAGTTTTTGCTTCACGTATTAATATATAGATATCGCTTTCGTTGTCCGAATTCACCTCTATAGAGCTCGCGTCGGTTAATTCGATTAATGTCCGAAGTATGCGCGGTTCGCTAAAACCGCAACCCGAACATTTACAAACGCTGCAAAACTTTTTCGCAAACATTATTTTCGGTTGCGGAATGCTTTTGTTTTGTGTTAACAATATTTATTCGCTTATTCGCGTTTGAATCCTTTATAGTTCAATGCTTTATAAATACAGTATTTCGTATATTTTATTCTGTAGTGTTTGGTTGAAAAGTAAGCTTTCCCAACAAGCGTAAATGAAAGCCTGTGAGTCTGGGTAGTACGGGTCTCCTCTGCTTTGGTTACAGTGTGGTGACAAAAAGTATATGCCATATGAAGATACCTTACAGAATACAGAGATAACCAATGTTCTTCTCTGTGTACGCGTTCCAAAAGATCAGTGAGATGGGACTGTGGCGGGCAGCCATCATACAACACAAGATATTTGACAGGTGCCTTAATCTAGCTTATGACATTTTCAAGATAAGCTTGCATATATACAAGTTCCGAACGACAACATTCGGACCGTCGATCTATGGAACAATATCACCCGCTCGGTGAAAGATCTTCCTTTTGTAGTACACCTACAGGACTGTCGACAACTCGAATGGCCCTCTTCTGTTTAGAGTCTACTGGAAATAGCTGGTATTTAGGAACCGCGGCTTAAAGACAGGAGGATTACTCCACTCGAGACCCAGCCTTTGTTTTCTAAAGAGGTTTTTGTCCAGGCGTAATGTACTATTTGGCTCTGTTGAAAACACGCGAAATTGATACCCTGATAAAAACAAAACTAAACTCCAAACTAAAAACATGCACGTAAAACCGAATTTTAAAAACCACGAATAAAATTATGGTTCTTTCAGTAATAACATTCAACAAACTCACAACGATCCAACAACTCGTAACTCGTAGAATCCAACAACTCAAAAACATTTAAAGTTAAGATGGAAACCGTTAAGTTTCAGACTTAAAGTTTCTAAATTTGAATTTAAAATATGTTCGGCTGTTTATTATAAGCACGACACCTGACTCTGAAGTGTCGTGTGAATTAATTCGAGTTCACTTTTAAGTTTTGTTTTTGATGAACGATTTTAAAGTTTACTCGAAAATTCGGAGTAATTGAAATTTAAACAAAAGGTCCTCATCTCTAAATACTCCATGGTAATAAAATAAAAAGAAATAAATAAATCTAGTGGTAGAGCGAAATGAGAACCCATACGGGTGGGGGCCACGGCTCTATATCTACCGTGAAGCAATCATGAGTTTCGCTTTCAAGAGTAAAGCCTAGAGGTAACCGCAAAAGCTGCGACCCAATTAACACCAGACCTGCCGTTAGCCAGTTCACTAATCTGTACAGTTAAAAAAGTCTTTAGGTTAAAGTCTAATATTCACCAAAACAATAGTTTACCTGATTCAACTCTACTCGAATCGGTATCCATAAAAACGTCGCGGCGGAATTAGATAGCATAATGGTATCAACGAGAGAGAGATCGCTAAAGAGTCCTACTCTAAGAAAGAAAGAAAGAAAAAGCAATAAATATGCAAACATTGGATTGCGGCATATTACATTTAATAGAGATCCAGCTCGATCTCCCATCATAGACGTCGATAGATAGAGAGAGATTGATAGATATAGACATTGGTCTATCTATTTCGAATTAATCAGGCGTCTCAATAAGTATGTCATTATACTTATATATAATTGGCATTCCAATTACAGCGTAGACGTCATGTCTGAGGACATTCGTACCATGATTTGTCAGTAGCAGTCACGGCAGGTGACCGGTGACGGGTGCACTATGAGCACAAAATATTTAAAAAGTTACATATCGTCTTCTCGCATTAAAACTGTATAATCTCAAAACTTACTAATTTTACAGGAGAGTATTTTAAAGGTTTAACATGTGATATTTTTAATATTGATCATCTTTACAACATTTATTTTTTATTTTTTACCAGTTACATTATCTGTCTTATAAATTAATATAAAATTATGTATTAATTTTGTTAATAGTAGTCAAAACATAGGTAAATTTAAAAAAAACTAAAACTAAATTATGCTCTTTTGACAGTATTTATGAGAAAAATACTGGTGATATCAAATGATTCCGCATATTAACTCAATTTCGAATATTTTTGGAAATTGCACACTTTTAATGCGAAAAGACGATATGTGATAAACGGACTCATGTAGCGATAAGTCACTCGAGCCAATGTTCAAAATGGAATTAAGCCATTCCCGGCTTTTGGCAGAGGTAGTCGGTAGTTAAGTAATTTTCTCCACAAAACTTGGATCAATTCCAAAATTAGTTATGATAACGGTTATAAAATGCAATTTGTCGGTTAAATATTATATTATTATGCTTTTGGTATTAAAATTGGCGGTAAATGTTTTTACATATACTGTAAATCTCTCTGGTGTTTGAGTATCGCGCCACCCACTACAGAAGCAGATCTTACCCTTCCTAACTGTATCTGCTGCGGTCATTCACATAGTCTTTCTAGGAATCGTTTTTAATGTCTTCCTCCAGAATGAAATTACCCAAGTACTCTATTCACATAAACGCTATGACATGCCATTCTTTCACTATGAAAGATTTGTGTTGAGACATTATGAAGATCTTGTGCGTTCGCTAAATAGTTGTTTTGGGTTTTAAGAAATTATTAACTCAGAATTTAGGGAGTATTAAACATGTCATTAGATTTAGGACCTTTTCAGATATCGTTACGGCAAGATTGTAATAATAGTGTTGTATTAGACATATATTTTTTTCTTTTTCACGTCTAAGTTTTCACTCAGGGTTCAAAGAACGACATGGGAGGTCCATACTATTTATACTAAATAATAATAAAAAATTACTGGATAAAATTACTTCAGCAGTTGCAGCATTTCGTAATAAGTGTGCAAAACTATAATGTTCTCCTGTGACTAAGTAAAAATAAAGATAAGAAACCGATGAGATTAAACTGTAAAAGTATAATAGTTTTAATTCAATAAAATATCGAACCTTCGGCGGCGCGGTGGCATGCGCCCCGTCGTACACGTAGAGATGGTCATTGCAATCCAATTGCAGTAGATCGAAATGCAGCATGAACCTCTGGAGGATGCTGTGCGTCTGGAAAGTCACAGTGCAGTCCAGATTCCTCTCGTTCCTTGACCATAGGACACCTCCGTCTAACTTTCTGTATTGACGTTGAAGAAAGTGGTCCTTGCATAGTGATTCCATATAATCTGGGGACAAGCGAAAAATATTTTTATTTTCATTGATAATAAAGTTCATAATTCGAAAAAACAGCAAATGTAATGTATTTGACTGTCCACCCTGAAGTATGTAATCGAAAATATACATCAACACCCAGTACAATAATTAGACGGTGATTATCACAATATTAAAATGTCGATGAATAACATCTCAGTCGTCCGTGGCCCCGAAAACCGTAAAGTAAACTGTCCGAATTGATAAAATGAAAAAAATAAACGTGAGATTTATAAGTAAAATTAATAAAAACAACTCGCAAATACAGAAAAAAAACGACATCAAACAATATTGTTAATATTTCGGAGACAAACAAGAAATACGCAGAAAACGTCTCACACGTTAATGAGCATATCATTAAAACTCGTCACATCACCAACTTAATATGCTGAGATATCGAAACACATCCAATCCTTCCAATATCTTTGGCCAGCACCGAAGCCACAAGACATCATTCCAAAATCGATAACCCACAACACGATTCCGCAATATCCTTATCTGTTTTCAATTTACTTTCCCAACAGATCGCGCGATATCTAAACAATTTTAAGCGCAATTCATTGATATGACCCATTTCGAGTAATTCTACCTAGACTGACTAGATTAACCTGTTTTTTATGTTTTTATTGTGGTCGATAATTCTGCGATATTGCTCGTGACCTCAAACGACAAGTTCGAGGTTCGACGCTGTGAGGTGTGTTATAATTTATTGTGACTATGCTGACGGCCACTTTAATAGCATTGTTGCTAATCGGCATTGGCAATCAATTAACACTAGGTATAAGTTGCAATCGTTCGCCATTTTCAATGTAGCAGGGGTTGTATGCGGGTATCTCCGGGTGAAATCCTTAAAAGACTTCATCTTCATTTATTAGTGACAAGAATTGTACACGTAGATATAAAAATATGATTAGATTTAACTCCAAATCGCATTATTAATTTAAATGCCAACTGGTCATGTGTGGCATCGTAAAATTTGGTATTTTTTCAGAAATAAAACAAGCATTTTAGTTAGTATTTCATAGAAAAATATTAGTCAATTTTTTAATTATATATTTGTAAATTAGATCAATTAAAGTTAAAAATTACAGTAACCACATCACAAATATTAAAAATGTTTAGTGTACAATTTTCTTATCAGTTCAGATAAGCATCTCCGAGATAAATCTTATTTTCCGCTTCAGTAAAACCGAAGCGTCAGTGATAAGCGGAGTGTTCACATCGCATCGGCTATGTGAGTTTATAAATCTTTAGTATCGCGGTGCAACTCCTTACTAATTATTGATTGGCATATAAATAAGCGTCTGATCAGAAATGTGAGTAGATAAAAAATTAGTATGATTTGTTAAGTATTGAAATCTATAAATTAACAGAAAAAAGTGCATGAGATCTCATAAAAATCAGACCATGGACATTTGTAATACCACAGGGGCATAACTTAAACAAATATATGTCGTAGCCTTGAGGAATTACTGCTTAGAGGAAGCTAATCGATCAATCGAAGAAAGTTACTGAAGGATGGCGCATTACTAGCGGATCCTTGGTAGAGGTGAATAAAATCTCTAATATTCCATAGACATGGTAATCTTGTCTTTCTTTTAAACAGTAATGAAACAACACATCACAATTCTATACATATAAATTACTTTTTTGTAGAATTTAGAATTAGGTCGAAACATCCTTTACTCCTTTGTCGTATCACTCTTGTCAGAGCGGTCGTGGTCGTCATACAGTATCATTGCTGTGGGCAGATGTTATGCGTCTCATGAGCAATACCCACTCCTCCCGGTCGAAACAGTATCAACTAAATTGGATTTGTTCAACGATTTTTTTTATTGCTTAGATGGGTGGACGAGCTCACAGCCTGATGTTAAGTGGTGACTGGAGCCCATAAACATCTACAACGTAAATGCGCCACCCACCTTGAGATATAAGTTCTAAGGTCTCAGTATAGTTACAACGGCTGCCCCACCCTTCAAAATGAAACGCATTGCTGCTTCACGGCAGAAATAGGCAGGGAGGTGGTACCTAACCGTGCGGACTTACAAGAGGTCCTACCACCAGTAAATAGAAGAGATGACGACATCAAGTGAAAGTGAAACAAGACTGTAGTGGAACCTGTCGAATACCTTAATCACATAATTTTTCAAATTTTAGGATGAACTACACCATCATAATGACCGTGACTCTGCTGCTGTTATCCTGTGCATCATCTGCGCCAACTCCTAGAATATTCGAGACTCTCGTCTCGGGAATTACCACAGGCCTGGAATTACCAATGAGCATAATAGCTGGCACAGGTGTCGGTACTGGTGCATTACAATTGGTTGTCAATATACATACAGACAGTATGGGTAATATAGAAGTGTTTACTAACTAAGCTATAGATATAAAAGATGCAATGGCGTGTTAAATTATTTGTTGAGCTCTATAGAACTTCTTAATCAGCTGAAAAATGGATATATATTTGGAAGAGATTCATGTATGAAAGAAAAAAATAAATGAACGCAAATGACCATGTTATAAATTTAAGGTATACTATACTATAATTAAGCTGTACTACACTATAATATTTTATCTATAATGTTACTCTAGTATGATAAAGAAATTCTTTTTTAATTTAAAACCGTAATATCATTTTAATTTGAGAGGTTTGGAACAATTCGTACTACGCCTACCTACCTTAAATTGATGTTACTATGCCAGAAACATACTCTGAAGCTTGAACAACAGCTGTACTAAGATTTAATACAATTGCAACCAAATAATGACATTACGAGTAATCAATGTTAGAAAAAAAGATTTAGTAAAAGAAAATGACAGCACCTGTGAACAGCGAATGAGATACAAACCAAATGCACTCATTGAGAAGAACCACTTACACTCCAACTAAAAGATAAATCTTAGACATAAAAGTATGCATGGGTGCCATCATACCAAAGGATATACCATTATACTGTCCAAGCAGGTAGACTGATGACTCGAGAACTGAAACTAACAGTCCACAAAACCCGATGAAAGATTGTTGCCCATGCTAATGAGACCTTGAGGTATCACATTTAATTTGCTTATAAGGGCAGAGAAGTGGTTTGTAAGCAACCTTCGCCCATTGACATTGAGTCAATTTTTTACTTTGTATTTTTTACTTTAAATAATTGTTAACCAAATATCAAAATACAGAAATCATTGTCCAGTGAAGAAGGACCCCTCCCGTGTGAGACATTGAGCTGTGAAACTGTTCAACTTTTCATATTTGAATTTTTGGATAGCTTCATAGTATCAACATATTTTTATGCTACGTCCATGTTAAGGAGCGGACCCTGAAATTCTTATTGATCATTTCGCTTTCGAAACTACATTCCAAATCGTTGGTAACGTCCATGACTGAGTCAAGCAGAAACAAAGATCAGAATTATAAATGATAATCCTGTTACTGGAGTTCGGACACCAAAAGATGTAGGCGAAATAAGAGTTGAAAAAATAGATTCAAGTCCCCTTCATAGAAGATGGCGAGCTTCATCGCAGCCGGATAGCGGTGGTAGTCTACCCGTGAAAACATGCTACATTTTCGAAGGTTTTTTTAAAAATCATACGTGATTTAAAACTAACTGAATTGGTCATGAAACTCGAAAAGTAAAACTAAAAAGAAAGAAACAATTGAAAAATAAATCAGAATACTACTTTTACGGGTGATTGATATGGAAGTCGAAACTTGAGGGAGCCTAAAACGTACGTTTGTATCTTGTGATTAATAGCTGAACAAACTATTGTCATTAAGATTCTATAATCATATGTAACTGTGTGACTGTTAGTATTTTACGTCGTAAAATGTTTCTGACAGTATTTTTGAAGTGAAACTTCTTTAGGCGCATGGGGGTAAAATTTTTACAGAACGTCACGCAGGTATGCAACGGAAGTGACATCAAACTACTATTGAAATTAAGTACTTGTCAAATGTCAGTAGTAGTAGTTGTTGTATTTTTCCAACTGGAAAGGCAAATGTATCATACCATACAGCCTAATAATTTATATTTTTTTGTGAAAAATGTTAATAGGAATTTAAATGAAATGAAAAGAATTTGGAACATTAATCAAATAGCATGAAATTAAATTAGTCAATTCAATTGGCAAAATATTATTCATTTACAATTTAGAAATCTAAACATAATGTGACTGTCAACACTGAGGTTTGAGATTGACATTTGACAGACTTTTGGCGGGAACATATCTTCCTTTTTCCCTTCCTCTAAGTCTCGGAAATCTAAAGTTTTAGATTTGTATAAATATAAGCAAGACTTACAAATTAGTTCGCACAAAAATGTTTCACTTCTGACATGTGTACTTTGTACGCACGCACTTTTTTTTCATATAATAACCATGTAACGAGCCCATTGTTCCATTAGAATAATCTCTAAAGTTTTTGCCAGTCGTAGGCATTATTATGTCGTTTATTCTTTACAACTAACATGTTTTTTAAATAAAATACACAATATCAAGAATACTTTAAGGCATTATTAATCCTGCAATATCGATTGTTGATCTTTATATGTAATTGATATCATTATGAAATACTAATTAATTAGGATTAGGTCGACTAACTTGATCAGTAAGTCCTCCTCATCTCTTTATCAATACTTATTATTTACGTATTGATAATTAAAAGAAAAGACGTGCAATAAATCTAAAGCTATCCTATTATTAAATAACACTTAATCATTTCGTGATATTATAATTGTATTTTTATCTGATTACTAATGTTCAATGTTTTTATAAAAAGGACGAGAAGTTTTGCTAACGAAATCGCTATCAGCCGGTTCGACATTCTTAATAAAACATTTTGTAAAAAGGAGTGTTTTTATTAAATTAATATATTTTAATATTTTAATAATATTTAATATTTTAATATTTACTAACAATCACGCCACGTTAACTGGTCCCGTGCTAAGTTCATAGAGAACTTGTGTTACAGTACCAG